GGAGGACTTGTGGATTGGTGTCAGACACATGGGTTAATGTTGGACTTGTGGGCTTGGGCAGTACTGGGTTGGGATGTTTTCTTAATGCACACTTAACCTTTACATAAAACTCTCTCTTTTACATGAGTTTCTGTGGATTTGTTTCTCTAAAGTACCCAGACTAACACAGTCACTAAGTCAATCATCTACGACTCAGCTAAGATTCATTGAAAGGGCACAGGGCCAATTCTTGTACTTGAACCATGTATGTTGTGAGGGAATTCAGAATTTTTCTAGATACAGCTTTGTGTCTGCAGACATGCCGTCACCATGTTCTGAAAAGGTTTGGTGACAACGCAACTCACAACTAGTTCTGGGGCAAGATACAGCGAAGACCCGCCCAACAACCATCAGACCTCAGCTCTGGAGCTGAACGCTCAATCCCAAATAGGGCCTTGTCTTCAACCTTTCATTGTATCAACCTGCTCCCTTTATTACCACTGTGGGTTTTGGGGTCAACATGTCAAAGTCCTAACCTATTTGACATGTCCATCTTACAATAAGGATGTGGATTAGGAGAAAAGAAAAAAGAAAGTTCAAGAGTATAACTGGCAATGAGCCAAGGAGCAAACAGTGTGAGGAGAGAGAAGAGAGAAAGGAGAAGGGAGGTCAGGGGTTAAGATGGGTCATAATTTAAATACTCTGAGTTGTACTCAAATCTTCTTGACCTCCATGACCCTCCGTTGTTTGAGAATTACTATTCTGCAGAGAACTCTGACTTCTGATTCTTTAATAAACAACATTTCAGACATTAACTGTACACTTAAGGTTATGATTATGCTTAAAACAAATCTTTTAAGCAGTTATAATCAAATGTAGACATACAGTTTTCATTTAAAAATATATAAAAATAATTGAGAGATACCCAAGAAATACTTTAAGAATGGGGTGCTTTAACTGAATTGCACGGTGAGCAGTTTACTGGATAATTTGCTCATGGAAGCCAAGGGAAATTTTATTCCTAAATCATTATACTGGCACTACCGTAACCCAAACCCTGCTAGAAGATGGCATTTAAAGATATTTTGTCATTTCTAAAAAAAATCATTACCTACAGGGGGGCGGGGGGCAGCAGAGGCAGTTGGTGAACTAGTGGAAGAGAGAAGAGATGACAAAGAAACGTAGATAGAAACCAAGGAGACGGGAAAACAGGTGCAAACTCAAGCAAATACAGTGTTTCTGAGACATAAAACTGTATAAATAAATATACATGTCTACAAGACATTACATTTCAGAAAAATGGTCTATTTTACACAACTTGAAGTATCTAAAGAGAAATGCAGTATGAGATGGGAAAATAAAATGGATGCCAAACAACGAAAAGGGGGAATAACAGGCACAAATGGCACATTGTTAGTGGAGGAATAAGGTTTCCTGTGAACACATGCTCTTTTAACTAATGAACTAATGCTCTGCTAACACAATGTTTGCTTTGAACAATTCATTATGCAAAGGTGCAAAGGGTCTAGAGTCTAAGAAAACAATCTTCTCTATCCCCTAAAGATCAGGCAATTACAGCACAGCTGGTATGATAATTTCATTAATAACTTGTAGGCTAGTACACGGGTGCTGCTAATGCTAAATTATCATCAGTCACAAATACTATTTTCTTCAGCTTGCTAAATACAGGCTATATTATTTAAATTATGCTCTGATCTAATTTCATCTTACTCTATGAGAATGCAGAGAAACCTCTAGTCTGGAAGACTTGCCCCCTAACCTACCTATTGCTATATTGTGACAGGCAATGACCGTGGCTGGAGAGGTATACAGGGAGAGTTAAGATGATACAGTATGAAGCATAATCCAAACCTCGAAGAAGCTATTTCACATCAAAAGGAATACTGCTAATCTCAGCTGGGAGGAGAAAATCATGTAACAGACAAGCAAGACCCAAGAGAAGGGCTCATGAAAATAGATCCTAACTTCAGGGTTTTACAGCTTTACAAACATAACTCTATTGTTACATTGCCAGATAAATAATTCGGTCAGCTTCACAGCTCTAAACTCAATGACTCCAAGTATAAGGAGTGAAAAAAGAGAGCATATTTTGTCTATCAACCCACTCCATTCCATTTTATTGGCTTGTCAGGTGTTTATCAGCAACTTTAAACCTAAGAATGATGGGAGCTCAAGATGCCTGGTACCTTTGGACTCTCTGCCTATTTACATACATCTTGAGTGCACGAAGTCTGCCCTTCACTTGGTAATCCACTACTGTGCCGGGCTGCCCATCACATGTCCTCTGTTGTTCCTTCCTGCTCATCCTGGGTCTTCATACAACCCCCTTTACGTTCCCAGACACACAGGGAACATAAGGGGAGACACCATTTCTTATGGAGCTCTGTTTTCAGTAAGCTCGTTTGTATTGACTACAGAGGAGAAATGAGCTCATTCTAAAAAGACTGATCTATGTCCCTTTATCGGGAAGAGTGAAGATTCTTTAGGGTTCTAGCTGTCTTTGGAGGCACAGGTCTCCAAGTGACCCACCTGTGTTGTGTCAATTTTAGTGCGGGGTGGGGTGTGGGGGGGTGTTAGGTCTCTAGAAAGGTTTAAGTTTCTTTAGAGAAAAAAATCATAATTTTCCCTAGTGCGTATGCAATCCATGGAATTGCACCTTCTCACTAATATTCATGTTTAATTACCCAAGGTTACTGAAATCAAAGATTTAAAGAAATATGTACACATCTGTAATTAGAAGAGTTATCTACTACTATCTATTCTTCTATCCAAAATACACAAAATAAAAGAATAAATCTGATTTGAGGTAAAGTAGGTGAGAGGCAGCCGTTTTCCTGCAGGGTAACGATAAGAACTCTTTCATAAAATCCTGTTCAACATTGAACCCTGACAGCAACCGCAGCGCTGCTGAGCCAGTCCTTCCTCTATCCATTCCTTGTCTGTGCAGGGCGCGGGGCTCAGACCTTTCACATTTGTTATGTGGGTGAGGCAATCCTTCGTCATGCTTAACAACCTTGAGACGAGCCAGATATTTTGCCTCCTGTCTCCTGCCCATAAAATTAAAGAGTTGTTGAGACCACTGAAAAGGGCCCCCCACTCTTTTATCCACCCACTCTGGATGACAGGATTGCCCCGGTTGAATGCTGAGACCCACCCAAGTCAGGTTGACAATTTTATAAGCTTTCCTGATATATGCAAGAGAGGAGTAAATTTTCTAAAGCTAAATATATATATATATGATATACATATATATAGTATATATATATGAGAGAGAACAGTCTGAAGAGTTTTATTTTCATTTGCCCACACTACTTATATCAAGCAAATCCGAGTCCAGCCTGCTGTAGATACAGGCAAGAGCAATAGTGGAGTCAGCCAGAACTTTCTGATTAGGTAAAGCTTGGCATTTCAAATTAGAATTCTGGAGGGCAGAAGGCAAAAGACTACACATGATGCTTCAGAAAAAGCTGGACTCCAACTTTTAGGGCAAATCTACAGGTAGAGATGCCAAAGGGCAGAGGTCGAAAAGAATTGGGCAGACAGAGGATGGGACAAAGAAGAGAGTCAGGGACCAAGATCATCTCGGACAGTGACCCAAAGTCTTAATTCACTGCTGTCTCAATTCTCGACCCAAGCCTACATCTAAGGAGAGCTGCTGCAGAGGTTCTGTGTCCACGTCAGGGAGGCCGAGCACACATCTAACCTTTGCTGGTTTTAGTCAGTTCTGAGGACAAGCTGCCAGTCCTCTTCTTTTTTCTTGGGACAGGTACATATTTCCGGTCAAATGTAACAGGACTGTATTGAGGGAGGCTGTTGAACTTTCTTTCAAATTCTTCATCCAGCTTTGTCGAGCTAATAGAAGTGGGGGAGAAGAGTGGAAAACCAATCAGCACATGAAGCAACCATTTGAAAGGAAAATGATACAAGCTATCTTTCTAGATAATCCATTTGATAGTTGATTAGAACATTGCTAAGTCAATTCTGTGGATGGGGGCGTGGGTTGGCAGGGGAGAAACCCACACATCTTTTTATGTTGGAGAAAGTTTACTACTCAGTCAACCCACCTGACAGATGAGGCAGCTTAGAAACATAGAAACATCGCCGAAATTATCAGACCATCTTTGACAAGGAACACTTGCCATGTTTTTAATTGGTACGGTAATTCTTCCTAAAGGATAGTACAAAGACAGCTGCTCATTCTAGAGATTAATATACAGGCACCCGTTGTTTCGCATCTGTTTGGAAAATGTCCAATCACATAGATGTCCATGGCCTGGGGTATTCGAGTCTGAGGGTCTGAGTGAGGCTGGAGTTTCACTTCGATCTAGAGACTGTGTGCAGTTGGGCAGCCTCCTAGGCTGTCGTGAGGAGGCCCAGGTCCGCATTCCCAACCCTGAGCCCCCTCAGCTCCTGGGACTCAGAGGGTCTAGTCCTCAGATTTTGCCCAGTGTGATTTTTGTAAGCTGCCAATGGACAGGTATGTGCCTGGTGTCTCTGCCCTGACTCTGCTCTCACCTCCCTTGGCCTGCTGTAAACCCTCCTTAGTGATGGCGAGGAGGCCCTACTTGCAGCTGGCTTGGTTCTTCCAAGCAGGAGCTGTTCAGGCTGTGCGCTGCATGCGTGGCAGGCCCCGCAGCACACTGGCCTGTGAGCCCCACACCCAAGGACATATCCCACAATGACCTCGCCCACAGACCATACTGTGAACATTAAGTCATGCACACCTGTATATGTACACACTGGAAAGCTTGGCTACTTGTCATTTGGCCATGATGCAGAATCTAATTTTATTTTTAAATTAGTGGCTAGCGTGTGATTAAAAAAAATCACACAGACACAAACCAAATGGAAACGGAATTTTGGACTATTAAAAGAACAAATCTGGATGGCTGACCTGGATAAGGATAAAACACGGAATGAGTGAAACTAAGCGAGTTTTCAGTAAACACATTGGCAGACACGGCATTCATTCAAACCACAAATGACTTCAGAAAAGCCACCATCAGAGCCAGGCAGTTCTCGGGCTACTTCTGACTGTCTCTATGGCCACCACATAGCAGTGGCGGCTTGCCTGCTGGGTCCAGTGCTGGCCGCTGGCTTTAACTTAGTGAGACTTATTATCTAAGATACAACCCAGACGGACGGAAGAGCTGAAGGTGAATCCCTATGCTCTGCATATGGAAAACTGAGGTCATAATGGGAAGAGGTCAACAGCTTTGTCTACAATCTTACGTGAAGCTAGTGTATCAGGCTGGTAGCTAAGGAATATTCAGATGTATTTCTACCTAAAGCGTTCCTGGTTTTGGATTATGTGCAAGAGCTATGGAGCAAAGATAAGAGCCGTAGTTCTCAACCTGTGGGTCACGACCACTTTGGGGGTCGAACGACCCTTTCACAGGGGTCGCCCAATTCACAACAGTAGCAAAGTTACAGTTATGAAGTAGTGACGAAAATAATTTTATGGTTGGGGGCCACCAAAACATGAGGAACTGTATTAAAGGGTCATGGCATTAGGAAGGTTGAGAACCACGGAGCTAGAGGGTGACACTGGGGATTGAGGAATGTTTCTTACTTAATAAAGCCACCTTTTCTCATTCAGTTACAAAAAATATTTACACTGATGGCCAGCTGGTGGGGTTGAATTGATGCCCACCATGTAGTGTAGTATACCACTGGGGTGGCTGGAAAATAGGGAGCAGATGCTAAATCTACTAACAAATGCTCAATCTTTGATTTATAACTAAAGTTTTATATATACTTTTGGTATATATGCTGGTATATATTTCTTGGTATATATGCTTTTAAGTTCTTAAGTGGGTAGAGATCAACATCTAAGTTTTTCTTGGAGAGATCTGTTGTCATAACTGAGCTGATAAGGGAAAGAATTTTTCCTGATTACAGTTAACTAGTGTTGCAGGACTAGGCAGTGTCTCATTCTGTTGTACACAGGTTCACGGTGAATCAGAACCTACTCCGAGCTAAAGACAACAGTTAACTATTGTTGTTCTCTCAAGGTCAGCGTCAGCCGCTCCTTGGGAGAAAGGCGGGGCTTGCTACTCCCGGAAGAGTCCGTCTAGGAAACCTGCAGGGACAGTTCTACCCTGTCGCACAGGTTGCTCTAAGTCAGAAGGGACTGGACGGCAGTGAGGAGAACATTTAACTAGATAGCACATTTTTGGATATGAAAAAGCTTCCAAATGCTTATCTAGGAATCTCAGAGATGGGCAGGAACGGGCGCTTCTCAGTGCTCAGGAGCGGTGATGGTATTTTCCAACAAGGCAAAGACAAACTCAAACAAGCGAATGCTTAAAAAGGAGTGGGGTACAAACTCCTGAGGTTTACTGTTGATTTAAGCCAATGGAAACACTACACTCTCTGCAGCAACAATGAAACAGGCAACACAGGGAATCCAGGGCGGATGATCCCTTCAGGACCAGTGGTGAGAGTGGTGATACTGCGAGGGCGGAGGGAGGGTGGGGCGGAAAGGGTGAACCGATTACAAGCATCTACATAAACCTCCTCCCTGGGGGTCGGACAACAGAAAAGTGGGTGAAGGGAGATGTTGGGCAGTGTAAGATTTGACAAAATAATAATTTATAAATTATCAAGGGTTCATGAGGGATGGAGCAGTAAGGGAGGGGAAAAATGAGGAGCTGATGCCAGGGGCTTAAGTGGAGAGCAAATGTTTGGAGAATGGTGAGGGCAACGAATGTACAAATGTGCTTTATACAATTGATGTGTGTATGGATTGTGATAAGAGTTGTATGAGCCCTTAATAAAATGATTTAAAAAAGAAAGAAAAACTACACTCTCAGTTATATACATGTGGCTTCCTCAGAAATGATACAAATAAAACCCCGACATAAACAAATCCAAGTCACATGCTGAAACCTTTTCAGAGAGAGCTTTCTGAAAGATTATTTCATTTTTCTTCTTCCTCAAAGAAAGTAGAAAAACTCTGTCACAGTGTCACGGTTCCTAATGGCAGTGACAGGGCACTTTCTGTTGGGAAGCATTACAGTCTGTGTTCCCCTGGTTCCCCCTGTCTGCAGTGGGAACTGCCACTCTCTTGGCATAGAGACCCATACGGCATCCTTGGCAATTCTTCTCAAACACACAGCTTGTTGGCTCAGATGCTCAAAAATCACTCAGAAATTCCACATTTGCAAGTATGATTTGACAATGACAAATGTGATGATTTTCATGTCATTGTTTAATCATAACGTAAGCAAAACCATCAGACCGGCTTTGGATTGGTCAAGGTATTAGGGAGGAAGAAAGATGTTACATTATTTCATCTGAATATATAAAATATCAAGGAACCATCATCATCAGAGCTAATTTCAACCCTTCCACTGTGTGATACCCTTAGAACCTTAGAATTAAAGAGACTTTAAAGCACTCTAACTTCCAAGGGATAAGTATTGAATTATGCTGCAAACACACATGCAAATATTTATGAATAAACCAAATGTGATACACACAATGCATAAAATTTGCATACCTTTAAAAAGACTTACAAAAAATTGGTTGTTTGTTAGATTCGGTACAGTCAGTTTTGACCAGTTGCACCACTATGTACCAAAGAATAAAACATAGCCCTGTCTCCTGCACCACCCTCACAATCCTTACTCTGTTTGAACTCACTATGGTAGCCTCTGTGTCAATCCATCTCCTTGAGCACTTTCCTTCTTCATTAACCTCTTACTTTACCAAGCATGATGTACTTCTCTAGGGACTAGACCCTCCCAGGAACATGCCCAAAGCGTAAGAGATGAGGTTCCACCACGCTGGCTTTTAGGAGTATTTTGGCGGTACAACTTCCAAGACAGACGTGTTCGTTCTACTGCCAGTCCATGACACAACCTTGCTTGCTGAAAGTGATGACGACTCAAAGCACTTACCAATGAAGATCCAAAGCTAAAGGCTTCCCTAAGGATTATGCCTTCCTGTAAAACAACAATCCTTACAGTAACCTGACTAATGATGAGCAGCATCATGGTCGAGAGGAAATACTGAGGCTGTAAGACTTTGTTTCATTCAGAACCACAATCAATGAATGCCATGGAAGAGCAGTCAAGGAATCAAAGATCCTGCACTGGGAAAACCTGTTGCAAGAGGGCTCTTTCAAGTGTCACTTTGAGGACTTAAGTGTGCCTGACCAAGCCATGAAGACATACTAATCTAACATCCGTCCTCGGCTTCACATGGGAAACAGCATCTTCAGGATTAAAAAAGTATATACGCAATGCCAGTCATTAATACGCAGCAAACCTTGATTTAAGCTCAGGTTTAAGTCTAAGATATACATATTTCCACTATAATTAAAATGTGAATGATGTACGATTTCATTTATATAATCTGATTTATATAATCCCTAGTATGCTTTAGCAGGAGAATACTGAGTGTTGGGTGAATACTCCCCAAACAAGCACGGGTGACTTACGTTTTACCTCGAAATTCCTATCACACGTGGGGTCTATGCAGCATAGCAGACTGTACTCACAGGCACTTACCCAAGGAGAGACTCTTCCTTTGTCTTGGTCTTCTTGAACTTTTTGCTCCCACTGGTCCCACTCTGGTTAAACGTCCAGCTCTCATCATTCCAACACCCTTCATGATCAGAGGAATTACCTTTTCCTGAGCTTCGTTTCCCTAGAGAAATTCAAGAGAATGGACAAGCCTGACTTATTGGGATGTGGAGTAAATCGTCTTGGTTGCTTCGCGGATGGGCCTGGAACTGCTTCACAGTTCTCCCTAGTCTAGAGTCCTCTAGGAGCTCCTTTTCTTGTTGAAGGTTTACTTACAGTTTTGGAGGCTGGTTGTTTGGTCATAATCAACAAATAC